CTGGGGGGCTTCGGTTGTAGAAATGTCCATTTTTTTATTATTGTTGAGATATTTATAATATCCGACGAGCGTTCTTGCTGCAACTGCTACGAGTATGGGGACTGCCCCGCACGCCACCTTCCCCTGGTCTAGTAACCTAGCGCGCAGCAGAACGGGCTCATGAAGCAGGAATCAGTTTCATGAAACTCAGTTTGTGAAACAGTTTTGACGACATGGCAACATTGCGGCGAGGAATGAAATGTGGCAACCATGTTTAGTCGCTGTCCTTCTGTTTTAGCTTGCTTTCTCTCTTCCGTTACATTTTTACCGGTACCCGTGATCACAGAAACATATGCGTGTGCCACCTGCCGGTCGAAAATATTTCTAATTTGGTTTGTCTAATGTCCGTTCGCACAACTGCAGCGCGACGATCCGTTACGGCCTCGGTGCGCGGCCCCCTAAGAGGATCCTCGAAGGATCGATCTCGAGCCGCGCATCGAACGTCGTGCACCGTTCGAATCGACCTCGAATCGAGTCCTTCGAGCCCTACCGGTGGCTGACTATCGTGCGATTCGCGGCCTGCCCGAAAAGAGAGCGATATCCAGTCCCGGCCCTACCTAACAATTCACACACACACACCGTTAAGGCAAGTTACCTATCCTGCCTGATGCTATATTTAAAAAATGGCAAAACAATCGCACCAACACATTCGCATCACGGTTCTTATTCATACGTTGAAGTGCTGCACCCTGCGGAGAACGTCCCGGGACGCCTCTGACACCCCAATTCCATTCTAAGATACATGTTAGTTCCTGAAATCGACTGACAATGGTAGCGATCATTGCGATTTCATCGAATTTTAATTGAGAAGAGAGTTTCTCGGACGAGATTCTAATTGAATAGTAATACTAGTCGTTCTAGAATAAATACCATTTCGGTGGAGTTGAACTTTTCGAGACTCTTGCGAGCTTTTATTAAGCCGTTTCAAACGATAAGAATAGAAAATGAACGTTCTGTGCGTCCATAGAGAACCACGTTGCAGGACATAGATCGTATGGAATATGTCCGATTCGAGCTATTTTAACGAACCGACGCAAAATCCACTGCCTAATCACACACACACACACACACACATAAGTGGCAATTACGTCGTGCACGATACGCTGGTCATTGTTAGTCGCTATTATTATTAAATACCGTTCTATGCGCCGTTGCTCGCACCCTCCGAGTAACGTTTGGGCACTCGAAAGAATTCGAGCAACGAGCATGGAACCTCGGATCTCTGAAAATCCTATCTGAAAAGAGTCGTTAGTTCCTCGAGCTAAGATTCTTCGAATTCATTGGAAAGTACGTTTAATAATAATTTCATAATATTAATTTTAAAACGTGTTCACAAATATGTTCAATAATAATTTCACAACAAGAAAAAGAAACTCTATTTTGTACTTTTATCAAATGAGCCGTTTATTTTGAAAGTGGCATAAGTCACTTTGTTTTTAAGTCGATATATTTAAGGGTTTGCGTTTTTTAACACGTTTCAAAATATGGATGCTAACTTTCGAGAAGATTTACTTGTATTTGTTATCTCAGGATACTGATATTTTTCTCAGTATAAATAATTTCGTATAAACATTAAAAAATCGCCACTTTTCATTACGGTAAAGTGACTTATGCCACTTTCAAAATAAACGACTCAAATATGTTTTGCCTGTCGCGAAACGTCTGTCTGCGCGTGATCTCTAATGCAATTAAACGGAGGAAAGTTATTCGATACATTGGTACCGTAAATGTGCACCAATATACTTTTTTAATATAATATATAATTTTTTTTTCAAACATTAATTTTTTTTCAACAGCTTTGAAATGAAATTAATAAAACCTAAAACAATCGCAGAAAATCGCGACGCGCAGAAAGACTCTACCTAACTGGGAAACGGATTACCACTCAAAGGATTGCCGGGCAATCCCTTGGTCACTGTACTCGTTGAAATCGTCTACAATTTCTACGTAATAAAAAAAAGAAAATAGTACTCTGAATGTTCACTCACTACTTGATGGGAAGAGGGCGCTGCGTTAGGGTTCTGGAGCAGGAAGAAAAGCACAGAGATATTAAAATGCACGAAACATCGTTCATGAAATTATTCAGTATGCATAATAATATGCATAATAATAATATATATTAATAATTATATATTATAATTATATATTATATATATATAATAATCATATATTATATAATAATAATAATAATATGCATTATGCATATTAATGAAGATTATACTTACATCCCTTCCTCCTTGTCGCAGCCCGAGCCGTTGCCTCGCGATCTCAGCCATCCATATAGATTATGTGTTATAGATGTGTTGTAGATTATAGATGCTTCGTGTGCTGATAAAGATGACACTTGCATCGGCTTTTCCACCACGAAGTCCCACCGCGTTGCTTCCCTGCCCCGCATGTGATTTCAAGATCTGTAACAATAACAATCGATTGAATTCAATTGCGAAACAATGTGAAAATAGATTAGGATGAATAAAGGACTACGACGTACTGCGTAGCAATCTAAGTGACTGATCTATGCAACTGATTCTTTCTTAGATCTCAAGGAAAATACATGCAATGGCCAGCCGAAAACCCAACGGAATACGGTAACCGAAATCTACGACTAAATTCACCGAAATATAAGCGCAGATTTTTAAACAAAATTAACATTGGTGGATGCGACGAATCTGCGACGGAAATCGCAGCGACACCTGTAACGCGTTCGCAAGGATGTCTTTGACAGGACAAGATTCGTAATCGAATCCTACCATATTTTAAGACAGTTTTAGAGTACGTTTTTAGATTACTTAGTTTCCATGCAAATCGCTTGTACGCTTTTATCGCAGCATCGATAGTTTTCATAGGGATGTAATAATACAGCAACAATGTAATTTTAAATGCCAGCTCAGACGCACGGCTTCCTTTGTCGCAATCGGATGTACTTCACTAATTGACCGTAGAGTCCGCCACTGTACTACAGCGTCTCTACAGTCGGCAATTCGTACCAACACAGGCGAGGTATTAGCGCAAACGAGGTATAGAAGTAAATCGAGCATACATCGTATTATCACAGATGAGGTATAGAAGTAGATCTGGCATACATCGTATTATTATAGATGAGGTATAGGAGTAGACTGGATATCCAATGCATTTTATCATCTGAAAATTTTGTTCAATTTTATCATCCGCGTTTATTCGAGCCTCACGCTTCGCCTTTATATTTATGCAGTTGCTGACATCTTGTTAGAGAGAGAGAAAGAGAGAGGGAGAGAGAGAGAGAGAGAGAGAGAACGAGAGAGAGAGAAAGAATAGAAACTCGGGACAATAGGAAAAAAAAGATAGCGGTAGTCTACATAGTAATGTAGGCTAAGAAAACGATGAATTGACTTTTTTATTTTGAACTTCTTGTACATGAAAATTTGTATATACTATAAATGATATAGTCTGTATATTGCATTAGCGCAATTCTTTTATTATTACATATGTAATATATTCAGACGAAATAGTATATAAAAAAGTACAGTCGTTTAACGTTTCCTATGATAACTCGATTTTTATCGTCGGAGGATCCGGAAAGAGGCACCCTCAGTACTTAAGGGTGCCATAAAGCAGCCCTCCCAGGAAACTAATGCGACTTGCACTTAAAAAATTAAAATTTTCCCTCCTGTAGTGAGACTACGATTTCTTTTCAATCGCATACTCTGAAAATCACCATCGAACCCAGTGTCTATACCTCGTGTGTGATATGGGGTTCCTTGTTACATTTTTTTTAAAGTACCGACGTCGCTAAAAGCCAGTGGCAGAGATTTAAACCAGTGCCATAATACAAATGAGGTATACAGAATACTCGAGTCTGACTAAGAAGCTTAAATTTCTGAAATATCGATAACAATGAGCGTGATACGGAAATGGTAATAGGAAGTTTAAAGACTCATTTTTAGGTGGAACATATACAGTTGCTATATTTTATTATTTTTCTAAAAACACTAAATACTTTTTTAGGTGTTTGTTACGGAGCTTGACACATTAATAATGTACAAAATGTATCTGCTGTTACTCAAACTCTATTTTTATTATTTCTACTTACAGATTTGTTATCAAGCGATTATAGATTATACACAAATCTCTGTCACCTTTTTCAAAGGCACACTTTTTTCACATGTCCGTCTTTTGTTCTCTTATATCCACGAGAACAACTTTCAGGTAGCAATACCGAGTTTATCTCATGCGCTACACCCGCTTTGTTCAAAATGTCACATTTTACAAACGTTGCATCGTTTACCTAAAGATTTTTATTATTCGCAAAATATTCGATGTGATTCACTAATGTAATTGAATTCATAAGAAGGGACTCACCAGTATCTTATTATTCGTTCTCATAACATTCACTGCGTTTTCCTTTGTCTTCACGGTATACTGAAGATTAGGCTTAAAACTTTCAGAAAGCATCATATTGTCCACAATATGATTTTTCACCATCTGGAAGGTAATAAAGTATACTGATAGTTGAACAAAAATTTTGAATAAGGTAGCATTAAAAGCAATATGCACAAATTCCGACCTAACATATAAACGATTAACTAAATAAAACAACTGTTTGAATATGCACTATTCATTAGGAACAACATTATCGTATCATCAAAACAAGGTTATTCATAAACCGTTAACACCTTTTTAGGAAGTAACACAATTTTGGGACACCCTGTACAAGTGATTATATTCTTTGCATTGTATTTTTTCATCATACCTTCGTTAAATAATTATTATCTTCCAGCAACGTTCGAAGCTTAACGTTTCCCAGTCGTCTAAATGCGTCGTCCGAGGGGATGAAATACGTGCACGAAGAATTAGCATGGTGGAAGTTATTATATATATCCGGCTGAACACCTTTAATCCTTTCCAGCGCATCTAACCAAATGCTGCAACAGTTTTTTATTTACGTACCTCTTATCCTGAAATATTCTATCGGTCTTATAATTATAGAATTTACGCGGATGTGGTAAATATTACTTTCTGCTCTCACAAATTCTTACAATAATAAATTTAAATTTATTATTGTATATATTATATAATATTATATATTATTATATTGTATTATATTATATTATATATTATATATTATTGTATTGTATTATATTATATTATATTGTATATATTATACCGGCCATTCCGAAACTAGTAAACGATGCAATATTAGTTTAAATATTTTCAAAATGAATGAAAATTCAAGTCGAATGTTTCGAGCAATGCGAGACGCGTAATATCGTCATTAAGTTAATTACTGAATTTTTATTCTCGCTGTACCTAAATTTGCCCTCCCTCCGCAGTATATAGTCCAAAGATTCCTCCGCTGGATGCAACACGTGACTAATCACGTGTAAAATCCCATCGCTGCATCCTCTATCAGCTTTCACGATGAGGGCGTTCTCTATACCATATGCTCCTCGATACACTTGCAATCGTAAAGGTATTCCTACCTCGATGGTTCTGGCTACCTATAACAAACTACAATTTAACGAGCATGTTCACGTTAAGCGCGAAAATGTTAATAACTTCGCGGGTAACTCGCTTGATTGCTGCTCATCTCGTTGGTGAAGTACGTTCCTGTGACTATATGATTTAGTACGAAGTCTCGAGCGCTCCGTTGATTGCTCCGCAACGTCGCGAGTTGTTGCTCGGATAAAGCTGCAAAGAAATGTTCGAATCAACGAAAACCGTTGAAAACCAATCGAGAAGAAATACGTACAGTGCATAGCTGTCTCAGAGGGAGCGAACATCGTGAAATGTTGCAAACTCCTCAGACTCTCTTCTAGTCCAGCTACCTTCATTATCGCTAGAAATGTGAACAATCCTTCCTCCTTCGCCAAATCCAAAATCGTCTTCGCTGCGAGTACCAAACAGGATATGAGCCGTTTATTTTGAAAGTGGCATAAGTCACTTTTCTTTTTTTTTTTTGTAATTAGTGTTACCATTAACTCGATTTTTTTGAAAAAGTGACTTATGCTACTTTCAAAATAAACGGCTCATATATCGAGAAACATTCTCATAAATATATACAGTAATGTCTCCCTTACTGACGCTCAGATTCTGCAGAAAAATGGACAATTTGGGAAGAGGAGACACGATTATTCAACCCTTGCGCTTCATTGTTATAGCTCTTGACAATCGATAACTATAAAAACGAGCCGCAAGGCTCGAATAAAAATCGTATCTCCTCTCCCCGAATTGTCCATTTTTCTGTGCAATCTCGGCGTCAATAAGGGCGACATTACTGTAGTTCCAAACTTTGTCGCAATAACTGTGATCTACCTCGATCAGGAAGCAGCACACGATCCAGGATATACAGCAGTCCATTTTGCCCATGATACATTTCGGCCTTCAAATTCGCTTGGTCCACGATAGGCCCGCGCGGGCCGCAGCTCAGAGTCAATTCTTGTTCTCGCAGAATCGTTGTCGCGCGATACTCCGAAATTATGTTCGGCACACATACGGGATGCGCGACGATATGATGCGCGATCAACGCTACGGAAATTGCATGGCACGTCGAAATCGTGAAACAATTGTTTCGAATATAAATTTCATACCAGTCAACGTGTCAGGATTGGTCATTATGCGATTGAATTGCTGTTCCGGAATCCGTTGGAAGGCTTCGTCCGTAGGCGCAAAAATTGTACACGGAACGTCGCTGTATCTGACTCTGTTGCCCAATTCGCTGTCCTCGAGTGCTCTTAAAAATATTCCGAATCTTCCATCTTTCGCAGCTAGATCAACGATGTCCGAATTTTCTGCCAACGCGAGATCCAGCAATCCGTCGATCACGTGCACGACGCCGTTCGTAGCGAATTGATCTTTGCGAACGATTCTATGACAATTTACTGTTTCCATCTGCGCAACGAATGGATTTCACGAACAGTTCGTATCGACGATGTTTAAATTGTGTTAAATCGGATGTTAAATGTTTAAATGGGAAAGACACTCACGCCGTTGGAAAATTTATTGAGCCTCAAAATGTTTCCCTGCAATCTCGACGGAACTAAAAGATTCGCCTGCCAATGATTCGACGGTATCCGCCTGTCTGCTATATGATTCGCGATCAGATTTACGTAGTTATTGCCGTCCAGCAACCACTCCGGCAAAATTCCTTTTATTCTTAAGTACGTCTAAAATATTAGTGACAAGTGTTAACTGATCGAAAGATTGATTCTACAGAATCGAGCTAGATTTCGATTCTCCCAGCCCCGTTCTCCGATGTACAGCAATGTCTCCCTAATTGACGCTCGGATTGTATACGAAAAAGAACAATTTTGGAAGAGGAGACACGATTGTTCGAGCCTTGCGACTCGTTTTTTATGGTTATCGATTGTCAACAACTATAAAAACGAGCTGTAAGGCTCGAATAAACGTGTCTCCTCTTCTCAAATTGTCCATTTTTCTGGACAATCCGAGCGTCGATTAAAGAGACGTTACTGTATTTTGGAGTAATTAAGCTTCTATTCGGTAGCAAACTAACGTCGAATGCTTCCTCGGAGGGAACGAAGATCGTGACGGAAGGACCGTCTCGTAATTTTTCTGCCAGATTCGATGTCTCGATCAATCTTGCGAATTTCGTCGAGCCCACGCGTTTCGCAGTCTCGATTACGTCGAGCAATGGTTTCACTGGAAGTGCGATGATAACGTGGTTAAAAGAACATACGCGTGAACGGTGTGTAAAAGCGTACAACGTCGGATTTAGGATTAATTCCGGTACCTCCTGTGCATCCAGGATGGCCCGCGACTCTGTAATATCCTGCGCAGCACTCGTATCTAACGGATCTGCAGAGCGAAAGATTTAAATAAGATATTTTAAACAGCACGGTAAGCACTAAGCGAAATTAGACTTACGTCGGCTTGCCACAAATTTGTCGAGGATTCCACTCTTTGCTTTCGGTGTAATAGGTGTAATTTATGTCGTCGTTCGCCTCTACGGCACATATGTTGGATCTACGTCCACAAATATTACTTGCTACTCGAATATCGTATTCATTAGCGAAATTTTATGAACGCAATGGTTCTATAATTATTCATTGATGTGACTTAAAGCCGAATGGTTTTCACAATTACATTGAATCTCGAACGTTATCGATAAATTAAATTCTTTTGAATAATCTTCGCGAGGCACTCTTGTGAACACCATGTAGTATTGAATGTAACATGAAATATAATATTATTAAAATACAGTGTAATAAAGAATAAAGATTTAATTCTCACCCTTGTCTTTGCGTGTTATTAATATTCCACCGCGGAACTCTTCGAACCGCGCATATCGCGGCGCACATCACCGATAGCGTTAATATTTTTATGAAAATTTTGCAAGACATGATTTAGCCGCGAAAATACACTTGTTTCGTTAAATGAACGATTTTTACGCGTCGTTCCGAACCGCGACGATTTATATCTTATAGGATGTTCTCCCACCCACCAGTCTTGCGTTTACGCGGCTGCTGAAACTCGTCTCGATGTTATCTTTCTGATTTTTCGCGAAGCATTTAATTGATGCATTTGACATCTGCTTACAATCGTAATCTGTGATGAATCGAAACACAGATTCGACTGTCATGGAAGCAGTTAAGCACGACCAGCGTATATCGTACGGACGTTTATCCGTCCATCCGAGATGTACAGTAATGTCTCTCTAATTGACACACACGCCCAGATTGAATACAAAAATGGACAATTTGGAGAGAGGAGATACGATTATTCGAGTCTTGCAGCTCGTTCTTATAATTGTTGACAAATTGGTAAGTATAAAAATGAGTCGCAAGGCTCGAATAATCGTATCTCCTCTTTCCAAATTGTCCATTTCTGTGGACAATCTGAGCGTTAATTTGAGAGACATTACTGTAGCTGATACAACGTTACCGAAAAACAATTTTAGTATTATCATAAATATCTATATTTCGTGTTGTCTGGCTATTGAAAAGATGCGCAACATTCACTCATTATCGCTCGCTCGAATAATTTATTTTAGCATCGATGCTTACTAACGCATGCGCTAATGCATCCCGAATTAATTAGTTGCCATCGCATACGCGATGTCTCCCTAACTGACGCTAAGATTGTCCACAGAAATGGACAATTTGAGAAGAGGGAATACTTGCAGCTCGTTTTTTATGATTGTTGAAAATCGGTAACTGTAAAAACGACTCGCAAGGCTCGAATAATTGCATCTTCTCTTCTGTGGACAATCTGAGCGTCAATTAGAGAGACATTACTGTATTAAACATTCGAATGTTCGAAAGGTGTACAAAATCAAAATCGGTGGCCTTGACATATACACACGTGCACCCCTTGCTTTTTTACATTCCGAAATCAATGAAATCGTAACGAGCATCCCGCCCAGATAAGAATCAGCGTATTCTCGCGTTACACGTCTGCGCTATCTACTGTGAACCCGATATTACTCTACATGTAGTCACCACTCATAGCCATCATTACTAGAGGAATTAGGTTACCTCCTAACGGATATACAAAGGGGCCCTACAAATTGACCAGTTTCCTACATGCTTTCAAAATAACCCGCAACGGAGCGTTCCAATTGCGATCTGTATTTTTGACGAACACGCTGAAAGTAAAAGCTCGGCCAGCTCGTAACACATTGACGATGGATTTACCAACAGATCTCAAGGCGAGCGTACGCGCATGGTCTATTATGCAGTGTGTAATTTGATCAGCAGAAATTTACGATTCACAGAAGATCCTCCCATGATCCTCCGCGTTGCTTCTACGAATTCAAATGTTGGCCAAGGCTATGGAAATGGTATAACCATTTCTCACAAACCAGTCTTAGAATCATCGCCGAACTTTCTCGCGTGCGACGATAAATCATTCTACAGACAATGATGTCGGCTTTAAAAAAAGCAAGTCTTTGGAATTTAACCGAGTGTATGCAACAACTGTGCACCGATTAAGATTACGAGAAGACTTTTCTTTCTGCTTCGAAGCTACCGTGCATCGACTTATTAAGTTATCAAATTATTAATACTAGATTTACCGAGCACAAAATAGAGCTGTTTTATATTAGTTTGCAAAAGTAACGATAAGACATTTATTCTGATTTTTAACAGGTGTTATTGTAACGTTTAAGTAACATATAAATTGACTGAATAACTCGCGTAAATATACGATACGAATAATCATGAATGAAAGAATTAGCGACCCGCCATTTTGACGGGTTCCGTAAATCTAGTGTTAATAACCATCAACTTTATTAAATTCGTAACACATAACTGTAATTCAGTGGTGAAAAACGGACCGACGCAGTCTTCTTTTTGGTAAATATTGCAGTAAATTGTAATAATACCCTAATTGGCATTCAGATGGTGCACAATAATGGTAAGAGGAGCCTTGCGAATTCGAGCACACATAGGAAGAAAAATATTAAATTAAATTATGAATTCTAAATGAAAGTCGCACCCGGAAGACGTTAATCGGAATACCAAATACAGTAAATTCTCCCTAATTGAGTAGATACGATTATTCGAGCCTTGCGATTCATTTTTATAGTTACCGATTATCAACAACTATAAAATCGAGCCTTGCGTCTCGAATAAAAATCGTACCTCCTCTTCCCAACTTCTCCATTTTTGTGCGCAATCCGAGCGCGAATTTAAGGAGAGATCACTGCACCTAGAATCGGTTCTACAAACGAGAGCGTCGGCCAACCAATTGCCGCGGCAACCGTATAAGAGCTAATCCACAAATAGAGAGACAATCGCGGGCATGTGTTGCTGGAATCAACGTTCCCCGATCCGCGGATAGAACGGTAAATAAACACGGAGCGCTGCGACATACTTCGATCGTTTGAAAAAAGGGGTACGCGTTAGGGATGAACCGTTTCCGAATCCATTTAGAGCAATTTAACCGATGCCGTGGATCCAATCGACACGGGTCTATTTCTACGCGAAACAGACTCGCGCGGTACATATTTTTCTCCCTTCTGCTTATTCAGTGCCGTGCGACCCGTCGCGATGAGTGCCTTCTTCCTGTAACCGGCCGTCTCTATCGCTCCCTGGCCCAGCCTCCCTTTCCTCTTTCGGCGTTCACCCTGTCCCCCTTCCCGCGCTCTAATCAGCTTCCTGGATGGGGCACATTATCTACGTGACGGCGGATCGTAACTACGCGATACCTAGCCAAGTCCCGGGGTTTCGATCATACGGTAGTCACTCGGCTGTCCATCGCGCGTAAAGGACCCGCCAAGATCCGCGATTACGGATGTAGAGAGCTGAGCTCGTTACACCGATTCCGCGGTACCAGTGCTGTGTGATCTTGGAACGGTGCGTCGTCGCTTCCTACGGACTCAGGTGTGACCTTCTAGGATCCGTTCTTCCAGATGTTCGCGACAGAGTTGCTCGGCATAGTGTTTATATCAACTAACAGAGAACGTTTTCTAGTACGAACGTTACCTCGACGCTAGAACTACAGGGTGTCCCAAAAATGTCTCGCAATCCGAAAGCGGCGGGTTCCTCGGGTCGATTGAAGCAACCTTTTCCTTTACAAAAATGTTCTCCGAGGCACCGTTAACGAGTTATCGACGAAAAACAGTGACCAATGAGAGGCGAGCTCGGCCGAGCCAATGAGCGGAACTGGGTTTCGCGCGCTGGTTGGCTGGCCCGCCTCGCGTCATCCGTAGTCGATTCTTATTGGTCGCTGTTTTTCGTTAATAACTCGTTAACGGTGCCTCGGAGAACATTTTTATAAAGGAAGAAGTTGCTTCAAATGATCCGAAGAACTCACCATTTCCGGATTGCGGTAGCTTAGGGATTTCTAGATGTTTGCGACAGAGCCTCCCGGCCACGCTCTCGGCATAGTGTTTATACTAATAGAGAACGTTTTCTAGTACGAACTAGATCACCGGCTGTAGCTTAGGATACCAGGGACAGTAGAAGAGCCTGGCGCCTCGTATTCCACGGTGATAATCGAATTTACGTTTGTACCACGCAGATGCCGCGGCGGTTGAGGACCGCGGGATGATAGAAAACGCGTTCGCGATCTTCCTCGTGCCCAGAGGAAGACTCTTCGAGGATTCTTAAAGCGACGTGTTACCGTAAAATCAACCGCGATGTCGTTGTCGCAACGTATCTCCGGGGCTGTCGCAGTCCTCAGGGGTACCTCGGAGGTCAAGGAAAGCCACACGTGAGACTCGCGGACCTTCGATCGTTAGTTAGCCCTCGCGTATCTATCTTTTCAGTAACCGGGGAAACAATTTGCAGGTCGTGCGTCGACGAGATCGAGAAGATACCGACCGAGGAGGAGGGCAAAGCGCGTCACGAGGTGACGCCGCTCGACAGATTGCAAAGTGTCGGTAGCAGCTTTATTTATTACTCTCTAAATGTCCCTTCCGACCGATCGTATCCGGTATAGGTACGCATTGTACGCGCGCGCTTTCACTGCAGGTAGTGGATTGGATACAGGAGAACACGCTGCTCGTCTTCACGGTGATCGGAGTCTTCCTGGGTCTGATTCTGGGATTCCTTGGACGGCTAGCTAATCTATCGCCGCCGTCTATAGCTCTGGTCAGTTTCCCCGGAGAGCTTCTCATGCGAGCGTTGAAGATGTTCATATTGCCGTTGATCGTTTCTTCGCTCGTCTCCGGTGAGATTATGCAACACGCCATTTCGAGGCGTCGTTCGATCTGTACGCGGCGAAACGTTTCCCTAAAAAAAAATGTCGCAACGTTCGCCAGGAATGGCGCAGCTGGACGCTAAAAGTTCCGGTCGGATGGGCTTCAGGGCTTTGACCTATTACACGGTGACCACGATCCTCGCGGCGGTGATCGGTATCTTAATGGTGCTGATGATCCATCCCGGCGATCCGAGCATCAAGTCGACGATAACCGCGCCGAGGCCGGACGACACGAAAGTCTCCACTCTGGACGCTATTTTGGACATAATTAGGTAGAGGAGAGGCGCGCGCGGAGCGAGACGACCGCCGATCGCCCAGTAACGAGTATCATATTTTAGAAACATGGTGCCGGATAACTTGATGCAGGCGTGCTTCCAGCAAGCGCAGACCACTTACGTGAAGAAGAAAGTGGTGGTCATAGGGAGCGGGAATCAGAGCGATTACGTCCTAGAGCCGACGTTAGTCTATAAAGATGGCACGAACGTGATGGGCATGATAGTGTTCTGCATCACGTTCGGCCTTGTCGCCGGGCAGATCGGTCCGCGCGGGAAGCTGATGGTCGACTTCTTCGTGGTGTTGAACGAAATAATCATGAAGCTTGTCAGTATCGTTGTGATGTGGTAAGCGATCGAGTCCCGCAACTTCATTTCACGCTTCGCGATCTTTCACGCCCAAAAATGATTAGACGGAGCAACGTCGGCTCTAGTCTTAATGTCACGCAGGTACGCCCCGTTCGGCATCATGTGTCTGATAGCCGGGAAAATAATGTCGATCACTAATTTGGCGGCGACTGCACAGATGTTGGCACTTTACATGATCACGGTGATCCTCGGCCTGCTGATCCACGCTGTGATCACTCTGCCGGCGATATTTTGGTTCTTAACGCGTAAAAATCCGGCCGTGTTCTTCAAGGGTATGTTGCAGGCTTGGATCACGGCATTGGGCACGGCGTCCAGGTAAAATCGATTCGTCGAGTCCCCGCCCCTTGTCCCGGTCGGAGAGCTTTGTAATCGCCATCTGTTCGACGATTTTAGCGCGGCCACTTTGCCGATAACCTTCCGCTGCCTCGAAGAGAACAACAAAATCGACCCGCGCGTCACCCGGTTCGTGGTCGCGGTCGGCGCCACGGTGAACATGGACGGCACCGCGCTTTACGAGGCCGTGGCTGCGATCTTTATCGCTCAAATGAATGGAATTTCGTTAGGAATAGGGGAAGTTATTACCGTAAGGTGCGTAGGATCCCATGAAACCGTGTACATAATCGTTTCGGTTGCATTATTCGGTCTTATTTACGCTTGATTTTGCAGTCTTACAGCTACCCTGGCGAGTATAGGGGCGGCGAGCATACCCAGCGCTGCCTTGATAACTATGTTAATTGTGCTCACTGCTCTCGGCCTACCCACCAGCGACATTTCTTTGCTGTTCGCAGTCGATTGGCTATTGTGAGTTTCTTCTTTTCTTCGTTCGACGCTTCGAACGGATTTTAATCGTTGCTTTATCTCTCGAAGGGATCGCATCAGGACCTCCATAAACGTTCTGGGCGACGCCTACGGTGCTGGAATAGTGTATCACTTGAGCAAAGACGAGCTGGAGAAAATGGATCAAGAGCGTAAATTGGAAGGCCTTGAAACGGGAACGCCTCTCGAGGACATCTCGGGGAGCTGCCGGCACGTGAGCGCACAAACTCCCGACGACACTTCCGAAACCAAGATCTGATGAATTCCGTACACTGATCTTGTCTCGCGGAGATTATTTCCCAACTTCACAAGCGGCGGCGTAATAAAGGAAAACGATGCTCGTCCATCCCCCGCGTTGTTCTAGATGAAATTGTTGCAACGGCGAGGAAATTGGTAGAGATAAAGAGTATGTTTCACTGCCGATCACATCTTGAAACATGAAGACCGTTGTAACTTAACTAATAGCACCGTTAAAAAAACAAACAAATCATTGTTAACGATTCAATAATAATATTGTAATGGTCGGATATGCGGAACGCGATAAAAAATGTGAGCATGCCAAGTACAAAGCGATATTGTTACCTATTGTTGACAGCCTGTTCACTATAATATATAAACGATACGTATCGTTTTTTTTTGTTTTTTTTTTCATTAAGAGTTAATCGAAACTTCTATTGTGTAGACAGTTGAACGCAGGTTCGTATGTTTTTGATTCGTTACACGACGAGCACGACAACGTTTTGCTCGTACGATTAGTTCGAAGGAAAAGCAAGTGAAACATTTTGTTACAATAATACTTCAAGCATTTTAAATGTGTTCACTCACTTGTTACACATTACATAATGTTCATGTGGACAAAAAAATGGTTGGATTTTATAGTGTTTTGTTTACAATGTTTGTGTACCGTATCTTGTTATTTATTGTATGCATAGTACGTGATCAGTAAAATAAATAGACGTATTGAAACGAATGTTCATATTTCTTTCCTTGTTATCGAAGATTCGGGTAAACTTAAGCGAAGAGTGGGCGAAGATAACAGCCACAGGAGGTTGACAGAGAAACGTGCAGAAAGTGAAAAGACGTTGTATCGATTAAACAATTTTAAAGTTTATTTTTACTTGTACACGCGTAACTTGTAACGATTTGGTGTTCACAGTTCGAATAGGATGTAATAATGAACAAGATTGGACAGATGGAACGGTGGAACAGATATATTTTTGAAAGAGAATTTATCCTATGTACACACATATACAACGCATCACGCTGTGCTCTCTCTCGACAGTGTCATTACTCTGGCTAGTAATTCGCGAATTGCTTGTGATATATTTAATTTATTAACGACGCACCTATTTAGTTAAAAAATATAAATTCTTAAAACTAAGCGTCCTTTGGATCAGTAGACGTGTACCATACCATATAAAAATCTGATTATAGATTGAGGAAAGTACACGAACGAATGTGCGCGAAGAAAGTACACAAGAGTTTGAATATTTTGAAAGGATACGTCCAAAATAACACGTATGTCTGTTGCGATACGTTCTGTTAAGAAAAATATGTGTTTTAAAAGGTATAACATCGAGCACCTATTCGACGACGATCTAAAGGATACAAATAGTCCTCCAAAAAATCCACTGGTTAAAAGATTTCGTCTGCTTATAAAATATTTCTTCCATTGACCCCCAGCTTTTAGCAATAACATTGCCTATAAAATATATTACGGTGCTGTAAGAGCTCCTATATTATTTTTATCGAATTATCTTACCCATAATCCAAATACTGCAAAAATGTAGAATCCAAAACCGTATAAACCTGTTAAACCTAATAAACCAGCTGTACCGCCTGATAAAGCTGCCATAGATATCCTACAATATTCTACAACAGCAGCATTATTTACAACAGCTGCTTCGCTGTAAGCAACAATTTCTGCAAGAATATTAAATTACATGACTAGGAGAATGAATGCCATGTGGGAAACTGAGCAACATTTAACAAAATGCCCAACGAATAATGTTTCTCATTAGAAAATAAAACGGTTTTCCAAGAGTTACATATATGTTTATTATTTTCAGATAATAAAATTGCTGTAATCGAATTACTTGCTGTTAAACAAAAACATAACCTATTACGGACACGAAAAGCACATCATAAGTCAAAGATTCGAGGGTAAAAGAAGCAACGATCCAATTTGTATTTTAATCACTTACCTCCTTTCTCTTGCTTTGTTTTGATTTTCCCCAACATTATTGTATTTTCGACAGTGTAAATGCACAATTTATATAATTTAACCTAACAAAACATTCGTTGACGATTAAGTATGTACAGCAACTGGGTTTTGTCGGCTGCTTGTGTCAGAACGTCAGAAGCACGATGCACAATGTAGGCGTGATTATATACATGTACAAAACCTTGTGATTTCGTGTGGTCGTTCTATTAAAGTATCGTCAGATGGCGCACGAGTATGGTATCCGTATCATGGCGGTTCTGTGGATTGGTTGAAATACGGTTAGCTATGTGTACGGTGGCGCTCCGAGGGAAGTGGCGGTTGAAAGGAGAAGCTGACACGTGATCGTAGCCATCTCAGCAGCAGCTTTTCTACAGGATTAAAGACTACGATCTAATAGTGTAAGATATATTTTGCTGAATTTTCGTAACCCCATAAGATATTTTCTCTTGCATGACAAGTTTTGATCCTTGCAAAAAGTTTGCGTGCAAATTACAACAGTGTTTGAAAGGTTTGTCATTTGATTTCACTAGACGTAGCTACACATATCGGAATTGAGGTTAGGCCAGACCTTTACCACAAAACATATTTAATTTCAGACAACGTTTATCAACCATCACGCTGTGACGAAGTTATAGAAGAAATAAGGCAATGTTGCATTAAACATAAAAGTCATTCGATCGTTTGCGAAGGAATTGATACAGCTAAACCTTACGAGCATAACACTGTGGATTATGTAAGTTCAATGAAATCGTATATTTCAGAAATTGTTATTGGAATTTATTGTGTGTAATATTTATTAATTTATTGCAATTATTCTGCAGAGAAAAGCTCAAAAGTAAATCATGGATTTATTATTTAAAAGGCGGGTGAACAAACGTACAGCTTTGTATTATATATGCCTTTTCCCTATAGCTCATATATTATACACAGCAGTGACGGTTCCACCCAAGCCCAAGAAGCAACATTAAAATAACAGTGATTGTGATTTAATAGCTATGTCACAGAAAGAAATGTATTGATTGTAGTAAAAATATAGGTAGTAGTATGTAAGATCTGTTACGATGTATTAATCCTATAAAAATGGAAGCAGCGAAAAAAGCGCAGGAACGATTAAGGAAATTTCCAGTTCTTGTTGCCGAGTGTCACGAAGCCGGTGCTAAATACGCAGCATGCGTATTGACAAAACCTGATTTGAAGAAAAACGATTGCGAAAGCGAATTTAATGCATTTAAGGCGTGCTTGATGAAAGCGGCAACAAGAAATGGTACGAGGCTATGACAATTAGAACCAGCAATCTTTAGCTTCTAATTAGTAATTTGCCTTCTCCGAGAAGCCTAGCTTGCACTTAAAAAATGGATGCACCATTATTTAGGAAGCATTGTTTAATAGCTTTCGTGCTTAGAGCATCTTTGGTAGTTTATACGAACTTTCACGATAAAACTTTCAATGTCCCGTACACTGATATCGATTACAAAGTGTTCACCGATGCCGCAAGACACATCGTAGTAGGGAGATCTCCGTTCGAGCGCGACACTTATCGTTATACACCGTTGCTAGCCCTCCTTTTGACGCCAAATATTTTTCTGCACGAGAATTTCGGCAAAATTTTATTCTCTTTCGTTGATATATTGATAGCAGTTTTGATCAAAAGAATTCTGTCGTCTCAAAACTGTAACGAGAAAACGAAACACAGGTGCTCTCTGGTATGGTTGTACAATCCTTTCACAATTATTATTTCAACTCGAGGAAACGCGGATTCTGTGGCTGTTCTCTTAGTTTTGTCGACCTTGGATTTATTCCTTCGAGATAAATACGCGTTAGCAGGCTTGGTGCACGGTTTATCGATTCATTTCAGACTATATCCTATCGTATTTAGTTTACCAATGTACTTATCACTCAATAAGAACGTTCTAGCGCCGACGAAAGATCAATGGAAATTGGTGTCGGGTTGCGTATCTTCCCTGATTCTTTTAACCGTCGTAAATTATTATTTCTACGGATACAAATTTCTTTACGAGAGCTTCCTTTACCACGTGATCCGTAAAGACGCGAGGCACAATTTCTCCGTTTACTTTTACATGCTGTATTTGTCCGCGACCCATTCACCAAGCACAATTCAAAAAATGTTTACCTTCTTACCACAATTTATATTGTTACTCACCCTGTCGTATAAATATTCAAGAAAGTCCGAAATACCGTTTGCAATGTTCACGCAAGCCATGGTAATGGTGACGTACAATCCAGTGATGACATCGCAATACTTCTTCTGGTTTTTATCACTGCTACCCGTGTGTCTCCCAAGATTTCGAATAAGTGTGAAAAGATCTCTATGCTTATGTTTCGTCTGGCTCTCGAGTCAAGGTCTTTGGTTACTAGCCGCTTACTTGTTAGAGTTTCGAGGGTTGAATACTTTTACGTTTATTTGGCTTTCTGGTTTATTATTTTTCTTCGTAAACGTTAAGGTTTTAAACGACGTTATTCTATATTATGAACATTAGGGAATATATATTATATTATAATAATATTATATAATATTATTATTATAATATTATGAGAGAATATTAGAGAAATACTTGCACAACGTATTCTTAAACCGAGTTCATTGTCACGTATATATATATGTATGTAAATAAACGATAATAGAAATATACATAAAAATCTCGTCAATTTGAATAATTAATCAACGTTCCGATATCCCGCCGATGATTTCTCGACGCAAGGACAACGTTGAAAGCAATCAAGGGAGATGTTTTAATGGTTCTTAATTTTATTCTTGCAGGAATACAAAATACTTATTTACAGATGGTTTCGTAAAGTAATAGTGGTAGATTCTTAAAAGGAATGTAGATATAGTAATAATAATACAATAATAGTAAATCTTAATGTAGTAATCTATATCAATTGTGAGCAAGAGCATCCTTTGGATCATCTTCAGAAATATTTCTCGTCGTTTACTTCTAAGCTGCTAATGTTTGATGATATTAATTATTACTGGGACATTCCTTGTCAAAAGTATACGAGAATGCTTCTCACAATTTCTGACGACACCACTCGAACGTATAGTAACTTTATGTAACGAGAGTATAAAAAAATACGATATATCAATATATCATTTTGTCGCGCGGCTCGAATATCGAGCCCGACACGTACACAAAAGAAACGGGGTTCGTCGTTGAAACATCCGGCATGATCCACGGTGTGATCGCGTTGCGAACATCCTCCGACAAACAAAGAGAGAAAAAAGATACGGAAATCAACGACGTGACATGAAATGGCCCAATCGGTATATATAGATCGATGAAAGAAGAAAGGGGGGGAGGTAACGAGAAACGTAAATACATAGTTCGTACAACTATAGATCACCACGGCAGACGATGCAACATATAAAAATAGCATTATTTTCTTTCATTGCTTTTGTTACAGTTTTTTATTGAACTGTGAGCTATGTGAAATAATCTATTTTATATCCCTCGAGGCGAGGATACAATCGATTCTTAACCCGAACCCGGCGACATCCAGTTGAGGCAAAATCACCGATGATAAATAGGTAAAACGGAAGAAGCGACACTTGGACTCTGGGGCCCTGCTGCAGCGGCTAATTAGTTCTCGAACCGAGGCATCGTTTCGGTAGCCTGCAGGCACCGAGAACACGTGACTCGGATTAAGTTCGTATTTACGAGAGAAATCATCGATCGTCGTCGCGCCGAGATCGTTCGAAAATTAATGATCACAGGGCTGGAAGGAAAGCAGCGTCTCCGAGAGGAAAATGAAAGAAGGGCGGCCCAAGAATTCGAAACCGAAACAATTTCTCGCAATCTCAACGATCTGTTTGCAAATTCTTGTGCAAATTCTTCTTGTCACGGTTGCGACCATCCTCGATATCGATGCTAATAGCGAAACGAATGTTATCGTTAACGTTATCGCGAAACCAATGTTCGATTATGCGCAAGCAAAAACCCTGATCGATCGCTCGTTTCGGTTCCGATATCAGCCGCGGTTCTCCGAGGAATATTCAGTAATGTCTCCCTTACTGACGCTCGGCTTGTTCACTAAAATGGACAATTTGGGAAGAGCAGATACGATTGTTCGAGCCTCGCGGCTCGTTTTTATAATCGTGGACAATTTATAACTATAAAAGTAAACCGCAAGGCTCGAATAATCGTATCTCTCCTCTTCCCAAATTGTCCATTTTAGTGGACAATCTGAGCGTCGGTATGGGAGACATTACGTACCTTGGCGTTCGTGCGACAGGCGAAAAGCTCTTCGTCTCGAATTGTCCCGGAGGATCCCGAGCGAAAGAAGAAAAGAAAAAGAAAAGCGCTCCGGGATGTCTCGTGCACGGAAAGCAGGTTTCGGCGAGCAGGCGCGGCTGCTCGAGTGGATTTCGCGGGGGCTAAAAAAGCGGCCCACGACGATGCTCGTGCGTGAAACGCTTTGAAACGGCGGATGTAGCCCTCGCGGAGCGACCCGATTTTGCACGGCGCGATATTTCTGAAAACGACGCAACGTTACGGGGCGCATCCGAACCGCTTGTTCCTTCGGTTCTTTCACGGTGCGTCGAAAGGCTTTTGTTTCCGGTAGAGTTGCTTTTGAAAATGGTTGTAACGAAACAGCGACACTAAGGGGTCCCACGAGGAGAACAGGACTGAGAGATTGATTTTGCAATTGTGCGACGGAAAACGAGAGGTCGTGAAGCCGGGAGGACGTCTCGCAGCCAGGATTGTTCGACGCGTGAATCATGGTGTTTGTTCAGCGATTGAACGGCGGACAAATGTGATAGAACGTGACTGGGAGGACGTGTGAGACTACGGGAGGTATTATATGGCAAAGTTTTAATAAAATATGTTAACAGCGGTGATACACATTACACTGTACGAGAAATATAAAATAAACGGCACTCTAGAGCTGCTTAATAATTAACACGTAAACCAAATCGACTATAAATAATAATAATAATAAAAATAATCACGACGATCATCGTCGGCGTTACGACGATGTCCGACGAACGGTTAAGTCGAGCAAAAGAAATGTACACCTTAAGTATATAAAAAGATCTATCGCGTTCGATTACGCGAACGCACAGAAACTTATCTAAAAAAACTAAGGAAGAAAAAAAAAGAACGTATGCTCCTCGGTACACGTGATTATGCGCGGGCGACAGCATCCGCGTTTACGAATAATACGAACAATTAAAACGTAAGGAAACGATAAAGAGTAATTAAAGCACTGGGGCGCAACGCACGGATAAATGCATCGACTTACACGGCATAAACTCAATTAATATACATAACATTAAAATAAACATTTCTTTGGTCTCGTCGTTGCCTTCCTTTTTTCCTGGTCGTCACCGGTGCGAGTAAGAAAGAAAAGGAACGCTTCTCGTCTCGAGAAATCTAGTCCTCTGCGGGGGTGAAGGGTTCGCAAAACAAAACAAAATTCGGGGGGGGGGGGGGGGGGGGGGGGGGCATTGGTCGGCGGGGTTGATGGGGGGTTGAAAGCGAAAGGGCAAATCCGTATCTCGTAGAAGCGGCGACGAAATCGTCGCGTTTCGTCTGTCGACTGCCGGAAACGTTGCAAAAATTGAAAAAAAAAAACAAAAACGAATCGACAGATCATTGTATTTCTCCCTTTAACGTTTCCCTTTTGTACTTCACATTCTTGCGGCATTTCGATCGAAAGAATTCGCGACCGTTCGCAAACGCGCGCGCGTTTCTCTGCTCGACGAGAGTTTTGTTTCGTTTCGGTTTCTTCGACCAAGCCGTACAGTCGCGAACCTCTTCGATTACATCGCTCATAGGTTCTCGTGGCAAAAATGAAACTTTCTCCATTCGCGTTCACGGAGTATTTATCACGCGGCTGCAACGCGATCGAAACCCCGAGTAGCTCGGAGGCGTCGAAGGGAATGAGAAACGCGATTAGTCGACGGCTACGCTCGGAATAAGAAGGGGGGGGGGAAGGGGTTGTTGGCACACTGTCGTTATCGAAGGGTAAATTTTCTGCCGCGTTCGTTCCTCGAAAGAATTTCTCTTTCTCTCACTCTCTCACGCATACACTCACGCTCGCTTATTTTCTCTCACTTCCTCTCTCTCTCTCTCTCTCTCTCTCTTCTTTTCTAAATTTGACTGTCTCGCTAACGGAAGATCTTGTGCGAATGCTGCGCGATCTTCTTTCACGGGCTTCGTTTTCGCGGCCAACCGATCTTTTAACGCTACAGGTACATGCGAGAAATTCGGGATTGAACTTCGGCTAAACCGATACGGAGGCGTGAAACGTGTTTCAGTTGTTCCTTGGAAGTCGACTATCATCGAACTGTTTGACCTGTTTGACCTGTTTAATACAGCCGCGTCCCCGAACCCCGACGCTCGTGCGATCGCAATCCAAAAAGAGTGAATTAAGCTTCGATTAATCTGTTCCGATACATTCGGGCTCGCGATTCGCAAACGAGGGAATAGAAGAGTCGAAGACGAACGACCTCCCTTTTTCTAATTAATTAATCAATGAGCTAGTTTCCCCGTGTGCGAATCGTGTCGGGGATTCTATTTTGTCGCGTCGAGCGACAAAGTTCGCAGCCGATTTTTCCGTATCGCGTCCGCGGCGATTCAATCTCCTCTTGGGCAGCGCGCGAGAACGATCGCACGGAAAAAACATCCCGGAAACAGCGACTGTTCTTCCTCCTCGTTGCCTTTCGTACGGAAATCTCAAGTAGTGTCTAGCTAAACGTTCGTTAGGCTATCGTACAAAGTAATGTACACTAAAAAGGGTGACTCGCTCGTTCGTAGTTCAAATCTCTAGAGTGAAATATATACATACACGGTGTTCCATCGGCCCTGATTCGCCTTTCGACCACCACACACGCGCGGTCCACTTGTGCGCTCGCGAACAATTTTGCCGATCCGGCGAAATCAACGATCCGACGCGACGAGAAACGAGCGTTTCGTTTTCGATCCGCAGCGATCGACCGGTTCGAGGGGAACTCGTATCGGAATAGTTTCGGTAGTGCTAGTGAAATCGACCGCGTAGAAAAAGGGGGAGGAGGGAGGTGAGTGGGCCACGTGCGAACGGATCGGTAAAAAGTAGTTATCAAACGGGAATAGTGTTTCGGCCCGAAGTTCGGCCCGGCTCGCCGCGCGAAGTTTGCCAATTCGCCGCGCGATGCTATCCGGAATGTACTGCCGCCCGTTCGCAACGGAAACTTCTCGCATTGATCGCGTTACGAAAGTTCCTTCTCGTTACATTTCTTCCGGATCGAGTTACCTTTTCATTCGGTTAATTTATTCTTCCTCGGAGCAGATATTCCCCGCGCGGAGCGCTTCCTCGACTTCGCTTGAAATTCCCGTACACGCCCCACCCGAGCAATGTCTCTCTAATTGACGCTCGGATTGTCCAGAAAAATGGGCGATTCAGGGAGGGGAGATACGATTGTTCGATCCTTGCGGTTCGTATTTATAGACACGAATTGTCGACAGCTATAAAAACGAGCTGCGAGGCTCGAATAATCGTATCTCCTCTTCCCAAATTGTCCATTTTTCTGCATAATCCAAGCGTCAGTAAGGGAGTCATTATTGTACAGTAATGTCTCCCTAACTGACGCCTCAGATTGTCCAAAAAACTGGACAATTATTCGTGCCTCGCAACTCGTTTTTGTAGTTGTTGACAATTCGTGGCTA